AATCCCTCAAGAAAAAAAACAATAATAAATTGGTCAATTCAATCCACGACTGTTTGTGGGATGCTGCCGTGTACAATTGGCTGCTACGTTTCACCCACAAATACACAGTCAATTCATTTTACAATATATTCTGTGAAGCGCTTTGAGACGTCTAGAAGACGTGAAAAGCGCTATATCAAATGCAAGGATTATTATTATTATAAACAGCATTGGATTTAGACTTCCAGAAAATCAAGGTAGCTGTCACTTCACAGGTTGTCCTCTATAAGACCACACTAACCTCTGTCAAATAGCTGATGAGGAATTTCTAAAGTCTGGAATAAACAGCTGCTGAAGATGTTTCCTGGAGTCCTGAACATATGTTCATATATCTGGAATTTGGCACCTACCTTGATTGGAAGGTAAGCAATTACTGTTGAAGCTACACACCTCAAATTGTTGAACTCGCCGCTCAGTGGGTAGGGGTGTGAGGACTCTGGCCAGAGGATGATGGCAAAGCACACCAACCAGCTCATGAGAAGTTTCTGGGAACTTCCACCCACCGTATGAGGGCTGAAATCTACAATTGTTATATGTCTAATGAACAACTGAAGTCTATCCCCCTTGGGGGGGGGGATACTCATGGTATCTTTATGGCTGAATTGGCTCCAAGTGGTTCCTTTCTTGGCAAAGTAAGATCGGAATGAAATTGACCTCTGTGGCAGTCTTGGTAGTCCACATCCTGAGCCAAACAGATACCAATACTCCAAGGCATGACTGAATGAAACAACTAAATAAATCATAGCCCTTCCTAGTCTAGGGACATTGAGGCCATTTGTAGCACCCCTAATACACTGGCTGAGATCAGTCAACTTGGAAAAAGAGATCAAACAAGTCCAATAGTTGTCACTTAATAGTAAGTGGGACTCCTTGTTCTCTCCAGTCAAGTGATCTAGAGGCCTCTGAGCTAGCATACTTAATAATAGTAATAATAAGAATAATCCTTACATTTGAAATACCATCTTATCATGTCGTTGAGACTTCTCAAAGCGCTTCACAGGATACACTGTAAATTGGATTGACTGTATTTTGTGGGCAAATTTGATTACTGAACATTATTCTTTGGTCAGTGAGACCATGGATTTCACCCCCCTCATTGAAACAATGCAGGAAAATAAATAGTAAACAAATAAAGCAGCTTACAAGCCATTCTAGGGCCTAAAAGTTGTATTTACTTTCGCCTCTATATCAGGAATTCTAAAAAATTACACTTCTCAGGCGAGGTGCTGCCACCTAGTGCCCATTTATGTCAGAGTAAATTAACACCAGCTTTGTCAGCTGTACCTCAATGTTTATGTTTGCATTTAGAAGTAACACAAAATGTGACTTAACAAAAGAATAATAAATCAGCACCCCCATGATCATCAACATAGATTATAAAGATGTCACCCATGTATCTGTTCATGGTCACTCAACATCTCCAACTGAAGTAAAAAGTGTATGGAAGGGATTATAAAGGAACGAGAATACAGTGCAGCCCACGTATAATGAGCTTCGCTAGAGTGCACATTCACTTATAATGCAATTGTACTGTGTACCATGTTCATTGTCCATGGATGCAGCCAGCGCAAGAAATGCAGTGCAGCCCTGCTATCATGTGCTTCACTGTAGCACAAATTTGCCTTTAATGGGGTTGCACAGTGGATCCCAGTTAATGCACACTCACATTAAAATAACCTGAACTTGGTTTCTTAGGCTGCCGTTTCCTGCTTTGCAGTGTAGCCTGTCAATTTCCCTCTATGACAATAGATGCATTGGTTAAAGTTGTACTGATTTTCCTTCTCAAATTGAATTCTCTCATTGGATTTGTGCAGCAAGATTACTCTGCCAATTGTTTCATTTTATTTAAAACTCCTTCTGAAACAAGCCGCACCATGATTCCTATTTCTTTGTGAGCTACTGTCTTCGGTGAAGTCTGCAACTCAGAGCACGATCCATTGAAAGCAGTGACACATAACATCTAAGGGGTGACCTAAGGGGCAATTAACGTGGGGACAAATACTTTCCATGATTAGATTCCATTTCCAAATTGTTTATTAGTAAACAATGTTTGCAGATTCTGTAAAAAGGATCGTGCAGCAGTTTGAATAGAGAGCTTCTCCCAGTGTCCCGAGCCAAAAATCTACCAACAAAGTTAGTCATTCACTTCATGTCTGTTTGTGGAACATTGTTGTGCACAAATTGTCTGCTGTGTTTTCCCACAAAACACAGTCACTCCACTTTACAGTACATCCTGTGAAGTGCTTTGAGACATCCTACCCACACAAAAGACGCTCAACCAAATATAAGGATGAATATTATTATTTAAAAGTGAAAACTCCCCCAAATTTCATGTGTGAAAAATATCACATTCACGTGTTGTGCGGAAATCAAAGGCATTGACGGTGACTGCACTGATGCTTAAATGTAAGATGGCTTGTTTTAATTCCAGGTTACACTACAACAAACTTTTTTCCTCCAGTGTTCATCCATCTTCCTCGCCTCAAGTTCTCTACTCTTTTCTCCAACGGCTGTGCTCCAGTGCCTCCGCAAGTGAGCATTCACAGTAAGTGTTTGCAGCTTGTTCAACCTCAGCTGATTTCCTCCACCCTCATCCACACTCTTCTGGCCCTGTGTGACACAACTGATGGAATAGGTGACACCTTAACCCACAGGCACATCAGCGAAATCTACGAAGGATGTGTTTAAACTACACAAGTAAGTATTTGCTTCATCTCCGTAAAGTTGACAAAAACTGCTGAATTTTGCAACCAATTTAGACCAATTGTGCAGGTAATTTGTAGTTTTCTGACCTGTGACTTGTGATTCTATAGATTACAAAACACACTTGTCTGTACACTTGGATTTTGTACTATCATCAGTCATTGCCTATTTTGGATCAATGATTTTTGTAATCACAGCAAGTGATTCCCGCCTCTTCAGTTCTGTTTTGAACTTCATCTTTCAGGCTTGATGCTACCTTTCTTCAAGATTCAGCCATTGTTGTGCATTGCCTACCAATCTGATGCCAGGTCAATAGCAATGTCCTGAAATGGTCCCAGTACTCATTGAGCACTGAAGATGGCTTTTTTTTTCACCTCTCTCCAGTTCAGGCTTTACCAGTTGCATTTGTGAACATTCCTTGATTTGAGAAGAGTGTGTACATCAGCTGAAGTAAAAATTACAACATGTTATATGTTCCTGAGTTTTGTAGTTTATTGTCCTTTCTACATTGGCTCATCGCCACTATGTCGCCACAAGTTAAATTGTTGCAAACTTCAGCTTTATAAGTTCACTTGCTCTTCATAAACAATGATAACTTGATGGAGGGAAAAATGCAACGTGTGATTTGATAATGATCACCAGTGCTAATCATCAGAAAATGCTTTCTTTCATTTTGTGCCCTGCCCTTAATGACAGAAATGGGACTGAATCCCCACCCCCAACCTCTGGGGAATAATTTCCCACGTGTTAGGAAATCTCGAATCCGGCTGCAGGGAGCACAGATTTCCAAGTTTCTTTGCCAGATATTTAGGCAAGAAATGATTTTAAAAAAGGAAAATGTTATGTTAGAAAATTATCCTTTGCGGTTGGAAATGAAAACAAACAATTGACTTGCTGCATTAACAACATGGCAACAAACCAATTCTGCATGGGCCGGAGGGAATAACCATCCTCCAGAGGTCGGGAAGGGTGGAGTTGTTCAATCCCAAACTTGTGGCTATAATCTAAACAGCTACATTTTAGGTTAGAATTATATTATTTTCTCTTAATATAAACTTATGATAATATAAACTTATGATAATATAATACTCCACATCACACGCTGCATTATTCGTCCCTCAGTACTTGACTCAGATATGGTAACACTTCCACTTAGGCTCATAGAATCATAGAATTTTACAGCACAGAAGAGCCTGTGCCGGCTCTTTGAAAGAGCTACCAACTAGTCCCACACCCTCGCTCTTAACCCCGAGCCCTGCAAATTTTTCCTTTTCAAGTATATATCAAGTATATAGGCAATGTGGAGTCGTGTAGCTCAGTGGTTAAAGAACTCGCTTTGCAAGCGAGAGACCTGAGTTCAATTCCAGGCAGTGCGAAACCTTGGGCAAGTTTCCTTACTCCACACGCCTAATAATAATCCCTTCAACAAAACAAAAAAATAATAAAAATTGGTCATTTTCAATCTACGACTGTTTGTGGGACATTGCTGTGCGCAATTGGCTGCCGCGTTCGCCCACAAATATACAGTCAATTCACTTTACAGTATATTCTGTGAAGCGCTTTGAGACGTCTAGAAGACGTGTAAAGCGCTATATCAAATGCAAGGATTATTATTATTATAATTCCCTTTTGAAAGCTTCTATCAAATCTGCTCATGAGACTCATGATGTGCCTTCTAACAACAGCCACTAACACGTTGTCAATCCAAAATCCACAGAATGTCATTTTGACAGTTCTGATGATTTGCACATTATTAAGTTGAATTTCTGATATTTCTTAGTGAGATTCCTTAACATGGAATCCTGTTAGAATTCCTACTGACCCATTAGAACTATACTCCAGAACTAGATCCCAATAAAAGCAGGTTAAACGAGACACACTTCCAGTTTCTGTAGTTATTGCTCATTTTTCCTGGTCCTGATCAGGGATTGAATAGGTGCTTATACCAGCCATATTTGACAATTCACTGGCATGATTTTCACCTTTTTTTAGTAAAATACTTGAGTGGTGATGCCATGAAGGTTAGTATATTTATGGGCCTTGGCACTGTGAGTTTCTAATGGGAAATCTGGCTATGTAAGCAGAGATGTCCCTTTGAACTCCAGACAAAACAATCAATATTATTATGCTGGAGAGCTGCCATTGCCTACAAAACCAAATCTCAGCATGAGTGAGTACCTTTGGGAAAGTAGGGGAGAAAAATAAATTTAAATCCCACCTAAAGTTGTGCCCAGTTTATACTGCATATATCCCAGTTAATTAATGTGCACAGTTTGATCTGCTTGCAGTGAAAAATAAAATATAGATCAGGTTTAAGGTGCACAATCATAAAGTGATTTATGCTGGATCCTGTCGGCTGAGTTGGTTTCAGCAGGGCATCAATTTGCATCAATGAAAAATGAGTGATGGTGGTCCAAATCCATTTGGTTTCTGCACAAAAATGGTCTCAGACATTTAGTGTTTCATTTGAAGGATGGCACCTCCCACAATGCAGCTCTGCCCCCAACACTGCATTGGAGTGTCAGCGTAGATTCTATGAGTTCCAGGATCTGACTTGGGGTTTGATCCTACAATCTTCTGATTCAGAGACAACAGAGCTACCAACTGAGCCGAGGTGACACACATCTTCATTTTTTGATTAGTAGCACATGCCATCTTAAACTGTCTTACAGGATCACAAGAGCGATCAGCCCATTTGATCTTATCCTTCCAAAATGCCCACCTCACTGTCCTCATATCAAGGCTTACTTTAAAAATGAGTTTGGAGTCCTGGCCTCAACCAGCCTTCCTGGTAACCTATTTCAGTCATTGATTTGGTAAAGATTAAGATTGTAACATCAGAAGACTTGTCCGGGTGAAGAAAGCTCTTCAGCCATCCAATCTCATCCACCCAGAACAACCCAGGACAACACTGTCCCCCCCATCACTGAATCTAGCTGCTTTTTAAATAACTGTAGTGTTGTGGCCTCTATTACATAGAAACTTAGAAATAAAGAAACATGGAAATCCACTTTGCAGAAGGAGACCATTCAGCCCATCAAGCCTGCACCAGCTCACAGAGCAAAGATATTGCTTCAATCTTACTAGCAGCCTTATCCCTTTACCTCTTCAAGCCCCTCTCTTTCATATGCCTGTTTACTTCCCTCTTGAAAGCTACAATGGACTCTGCCTGCACCACCCTACTCAGCAAAGCATTCCATATCGCAACTATTCTCTGGATGAACAAAATTCTCCTTTCAGTAACTAGGAGTGGCTACCTTATATTTATATCCCCTAGTTACTGATTCCCTTATCAGTGGAAATAACTTATCTCTATTTACTTAACAAATCCCCTTATGATTTTATACACCTCAATCAGATCCTCCATTAACCGTCTCTGCTCCAATGAAAGCAGATCCAGCTTCTGAAATCTCTTTTCATAACTGTAATCCTTCATCCCCAGAATCATTCTCGTAAATCTCCTCTGTACCCCCTCCAATGCCTTAACATTTTTCCTGAAGTGAGGTGCCCAGAACTTGAATCAATAATTCAATTGCCCCTAACCAATGATTCATACAAATTTAGTTTAATCTTTTTAGTTTTTCTCTATGCCCCTGTATATAAAGTCCAGCATACTATTAGCCTTCTTTACAACCCTTGTCACTTGCAATGCCACTTTCAATGGCCTAAGTACTTGTACTCCCAAATCCCTTTATTCCTTGCAAAATACTTCCATTCAATATGTAACTCACTTCCCTTTTTCTGAACAAAAATAAATTACCTCACGTTACCTATCATTGAACCTCATCTTCTACTGATCAGCCCATTGAACCAATCTGTTTAATTCTTCTTGCCATATCTTGCCATCCTCATCATTAGTCACAATACGTCTTAGCTTGTTATCATTCCGAAAATTTGACACCATATCCTTATATCCAAGTTGAGGTCCCTGATATGAATGGAAAAAAGGAAAGGCCCCCAACACAGATCTCTGTGACACCATTAACCACTTTCCTCCAACAGAAAAGCAACCTTTTAGCCCTATTCTCTGTTTTCTATCCTTCAACCACCCTCTCTATTCAAATTGCTGTGTTTCCCCCTATTCCATGTGTACTAAGTTTCTTAATCAATCTTCCATGCTGCACCTCATCAAATGTCTTTTGGAAATTCAAATATATTACATTCATAGCATTGCCGTGATCTACATTTGCAGTTACTGTTTCAAAGAACACTATTAAATTGGTCAAACATCATCTGCCCTTCACAAATCCATGCTGATTATGCCTGACTAACCCATGTTTATCTAAGTACTCACTAACCTGGTCCCTTCATATTGCCTCCAAAGATTTACACATAACTAATTTAAGGCTAATCGGCCCGTAGTTCTATGGCACCCTTCTTAAACAGAGGCACCACATCTGTCATCCTCCAATTTACTGGCATCCCACTCAACTATAAAGACATTTTGATAATTATCGACAGAGGAGTGCCCCATGATTTCTAAATTTTTAATTCTCCTAATTTTTTTAGTATTGTTTCTTTTTTGATCTTAATTCCAAGCAATTGTTCCTCATTTGCCCTTTTTCATCTCTATGCTAGTATCTGTCTCCTCAGTGAAAACGGATGCAAAATACCTCCATCTTTACCACCAAATTACCGCTCTCATATGTAAGTGGTCTACCCTCTCCTGAGCTATTCTTTTGTTTCTAACATTCTTATAAAAACCTTTACAGTTTTCTTTAATATTGTCCGATAGCCTTTTAGCATGTTCTCTCTTAGCCTTTCTAATTTCCCTTTTTTTCCCCACTTTTCTATGTCGTTGATCTATTTTCTGATTTTCCACCACATTGGTAGACCTTCAGTTTCAAAAGCCTCATTCTTTTCCTTTATTAACTTCCTGATATTTTTTGAAAGCCATGGCACCCTATGTTTAGTTGCACCCATTTTGTTCCTAGTTGGAATGTGCCTGCTTTGCGCTCCTTCAATCTCACCTTTAAATAGGTCCCATTGCTGTTCAGTTGTTCAAGTTATTGATTATCCTCTTCGTAAATAAAAACTTACTGGTATCTGTCCTGAAATTGCCTGTTACAACTCTAAACCAATGTCCTCTTGTTCTACTGTCATGATATATCCTAAAGTATTGATCTGGGTTTACTTTTTCAATCCCATTTAACATGTTATACACTTCTATGAAGTCCCCTCTGAGTTGTCTTCTCTCAAGGCTGAAGAGGCTTAGCTTGTCTAGTTATTGCTCAACTTGCCTTTTCTGTCCGTTACTTGGCTTTTGTCACCCTACATCTGTTTCTTGTTCTGTTTTCTCGATGCTTCTGAAAATATTTTACTTACTTATTTAAGTACTCATTTATATGGTTTTATAAGGTCGCCTCTGAGGTGTCCTTATCAAGATTGAAGTTCGCTAGCTTATCTAATCATTTCTCAGAACTCATTCCTCTAACCCCAGGGATCATACTTGTGGCTCTCCTCTCCACAATACTCCACGTTATATTGCAGCGAACAGAACTGTATGCAGCCTAGGAGCAGCCTGACCCAAAGTTTGTTACTGTTAGATTTGCCTTTCTTCCTTTATCTGCAAGATTGTTTTGCATTATGGCAAAAACTAAGGAACTAATAAGCTGATGCAAGCATCCTCTTCCCTAGAAATAATTTCATGTAACCGGCTTTTTTTTTAGCAGTCAAATAAAATTTATGATCAATTAGTCAACGATATTGATTATTCAACATGCCTGGACCTCAGAGTTCAATAATGCTCAGCATTTTAAAGATCTCATTCCTTCTTGGCAGAGCAATTCATTCCACCCTAGTCACATACATATTTAGTTTGGCATAATGCTAACAAACCCCTGCATATTTTGCTGTTGCTGCATCATTACTGTTAAGGAAAAGGTCAGCCAAAGGTGTTATTGCACATGGTCAGTTGGTTACCAAAATTTCCTACTACAGCTTTGCCTTTAAACTGTGGAATTCCTCATCCAGCTTTACTACTGACTGAGATATATTCTAAGATTCAACTTTCTATAATTTACAACACATTCTGTACTGTGAAAACATTTTGCACCATTTAGCTCCTGTAATTGTTTTTGATAATGTGTCCTGCTGTAAATCAACCTGCAACCTAAGAGATTTCTTAAGTACTGGATATGAATTTTCCAAATGTGCTGGAGGTGTACGCATTAACACTATCCTGAAGATGAATCTTCTATTTATCTTCCAGTTCATGGATTATGGCCTTTGACAACTGACTAGTGGGATCACAGCTTTATCACAACTCAACAGTAAAGCCACCAGCCTGCTAACCAGTGGTTGAAAGCTGTGAGTATGAGCCAAAAGACAAATGGATCAAAATGCTCCAGTTATTGCCTCAACTTTGATCAGCTCACTAAGTCAGCTCATAGACCAGAAATCAAACCTGTGACCTTCTGGTCTTTTTGTCTTTATCTTCCACTGGATAGTGCTTTTCTCCCTAAATCATCAGGTGAGAAGTGTTTAATTGTTCTAGAGAAAATCCCATTTGTAATGTGATGGCTGTATAAACCTCTGCTCTACCAGATTACTACTTGAATAGAATCTGGAATAGCCACTCTAATCAAATATCAGTACGGTTCTGCATATTTTCAGCTTTCACTAACTTTTATGCTCCACACTTTCAGAGATGTCAATCAAAGATTTTCTTCAAAGTGCAAACCTTTGTCTATCTGCTTTTTCTTATTATGTTGACAACGTGAATTGAATTGTATTCAATTCTCCAATCCTCCAACTTTCACTGCGAGGAGATGCTGGATTTTCTTAATAATCCTAATAATAATCCTTGCATTTGATATAGCGCTTTTCACGTCGGGAGGACGTCCCAAAGCGCTTCACAGAACACACTGTAAAGTGAATTGACTGTATATTTGTGGGCGAACGCGGCAACCAATTGCGCATAGCAATGTCCCACAAACAGTCGTAGATTGAAAATGACCAATTTCTTATTGTTTTTGGTTTTTTTGGAGGGATTATTATTAGGCGTGTGGAGTAAGGAAACTTGCCCAAGGTTTCGCCCTCTGCCTGGAATTGAACTCAGGTCTCTCGCTTGCAAAGCGAGTGCTCTAACCACTGAGCTACAGGACTCCACTCTTGAATCCAAAATCAAGGGAATCCGCTCCGCGGTCACTGCCCCTCCAACTTCCACCCACCCCTTCCCTCCCACACTCCGACTCCTACCCATCCTCCCCTTCGAACCCGTTTCCCCATCCCTTGTCACCAACCTCATCCTGTTCCTGAAACCCACCTTCTTGACCCCATCCCCACTCCACTCCTTATCTCCCAGCTCCACCTCCTTGCCCCACTTCTCACAGACATCATCAACCTGTCCCTCTCCTCTGGCTCTGTTCCCATTCCCCTAAAAACTGCCAGTATCACTCCCACTTTGAAAAACCCTCCCTTGATACATCGCAGCTATTAAGCTACCGGGCCATCTCCAACCTCCCCTTCCTGTCCAAGGTCCTTGAAAGAGTTGTCGCCTCCCAGCTGCGCTGTTTCCTCTCCACCCACTCACTATTCGAACCCCTTCAGTCAGGTTTCCGTGCTGCCCATAGCACAGAAACTGCCCTGGTCAAGGTCACCAATGACATCCTGACCATCTGTGACCAGGGTTCCCTTTGCCTCCTCGTCCTCCTCGACCTATCGGCCGCATTCGATACGGTCGACCACGCTATCCTCCTCCACCGCTTGTCCTCCCACCTCAACCTTCAAGGCCCTGTCCTTGAGTGGTTTAGGTCGTACCACTCCCACTATCTCCATTTTGTTTCCACAAATGGCTTTTCCTCCGGCCTCCGCACTGTCTCGTGCGGTGTCCCTCAGGGCTCTGTACTCGGTCCCCTCCTCTTCACCCTCTATATGCTCCCCCTTGGTGACATCATCCGCAGACATGGGGTTAACTTCCACATGTATGCGGATGACACCCAACTCTACCTTTCCTCCTCTACCCTCAACTCCACGACCACCGATGTCCTGACAGCCTGCCTGTCTGACATCGAGTCCTGGACAAGAGACAACTTTCTTCAGCTCAATGTGCGCAAAACTGAGGCCCTCCTGATTGGCTCACATCAGCGCCTCCGCACCTCAGGCGCTGACAGCATCAGCATCCAAGGCTGCACTCTCCACCTCTCAAAGCCAGTCAGGAACCTCGGGGTTCTGTTTGACCCTGAGCTGTCCTTTTCTACCTCAAATCCGCGCCACAACTGGCACCACCTTCCATCACCTCCGGAATATCGCCAGACTATGGCACTACCTCACCCCTCACGCTGTTTTATCACCTCAAGGCTGGACTATGGGAACTCTCTCCTCGTCGGACTTCCCGGCACCTCCCTCCACAAGCTGCAGGTTATTCAGAACTCTGCAGCTCGTGTACTGTCCCGCACCAGGCTTCGGGACCACATCACTCCCACCCTCGCTCGCCTCCACTGGCTCCCCATCCCCCAGAGGATTGAATTCAAGATCCTCATCCTCACCTACAAGGCCATTCATGGCTTGCTCCCTCCTACCTCTCTGACCTACTATCCCCCTACTTACCTGGAACTCCATCCCCCAGTGCCTTCGCCTTGCTTCCTCCCTTTCCTCCTTCAAGGCAGGTCTCAAGACCTTTCTCTTCGACCGTGCCTTCAGCTCCCCTCTCGACTCTCTACCCCATCCTCGCTCCCTCCCTTCCCTCCTCTCACCCTGACCATTTTCCCCCTGCTCGGGTCCCGACCCAACTGTCCCGTGCCTTGGGACGTCCTCCCGACGTGAAAGGCGCTCTATAAATGAAATCTTGTTGTTGTTGTTGTTGTTGTATCTTGGAGAAAATGCCTGTAATTTAAAGGAATGTAGAATACATAAGACTACAAAAGAGATTGAAAATCCATCTGGACACTATACATGCTACATATGCTATATATGCTATAACACATAAAAACCATGGGGCCATAAAAACAACTCCAAATATATTAGGTTGGGTTACAGTGCGGCTGCATGTTAGTACCTCTGGATCAGCAGGTCACCAAAGATGTCTCTGCTTACGTTGCTGAACATACATGCAGTGTAGTGCAGCGTGCAAGAAGTCAGAAACCACTCTCAATAGCAGGTGCAGTGATTTCTGGGACACCAGGAAGCCTCTGAGCTGCCGCAATGTGCCAAAAGCGGAAATGTTCCACATTTCTAGTATACTGTGATATCACCGCGAACCCACACTATGAAGCGAGTGAAGCAGATTAATACCAAAGTCTATCTAACTATCTATCGTCAGGAAAATAATTTTCTTCTGAGTTACTTTGGGCAGTATGATATACGGTATTAATTCTGTATGAAGTGGTTCAACTGTAATCTCCTATTGAATTTGTTGACACAATTTAAAAATAAAATAATAATCCTCACATCATGTTGTTGGGAGCCCTCAAAGAGCTTCACAGAATTTTTACCGTGAAATGTAGTGACTGAGTATTTGTTGGCAAATGTGGCAGTCAGTTTGGGACACAGCAATGTCCCACAAACAGCCGTGAAGTGAGTAACCAATTTTATTGACTGCACTGCCTCCCTGGATAGCCTATTCCATATATAACTTACTCTGCAAAGATATTTAAGTGTAGGAACATGGGATTTCAGTGTATGCTGACATACAACAGTTTTATATATGAGTCTATTTCTCAAAACTAGATTCTATAATTCTAAAAGTGAAAGTAACCCCCCCCCCAGTCTAATGTTACATTAGATCAAGACTTTCTTGATGACAAAGCAAACAATATTATTTCAAAGAATGAATTAAATGTTCTGTTTTTCAAAGGATATCCCAATGCTGACAGCACACTACGATGCCCGATCCAGTCAGTCTGGGTGCCAAATGGCAACAGTCATAGGGCTGGCCAAAATAAACCTGCAGAAAATTATGTTTCATAAGGTCACACAGTTAGATAGACATAAAAAGAACAAGTTTGTGAAGCTGATCCAGAAAATCGGCAATGTAAGCCCCATCTTGTATTTGTGCAATAGTCTGATAACATAAGACAACTTCAGTGATCAGGAAATGATAAACTGAGGAAGGAATCAGTTTTAAAAAGAAAACACTAAGCTGATTCCTTTATTTATTAGTTTTGTCAGGTGATAATCCAAAGTTTATTATCTACAAAGACCGATTAAACTAAAGGAAAGAGGTATGAAGATGTTTACTGCAGGAGGAAAGGGAGTCTAAAAAACAGCTTAATGTGAAAAGCAGCTCAATGAAACTATGGTCTTTGTATGAATTCACTTAACTTGTCCATATTTCAAGAGAGTGGGGTGAACCTGCTTAATTATAATAATAATAATAATAATAATCCTTGCATTTAATTCAATGGCTATATTAAGGCATACTCTCATTTGGCACTGAATTCAACAGCAGCTTGTATTACTAGTGGGAGGGAGGAAAGGTGGGAGAACACAGCTAGGACGAAACAGCTAGAATTATTACCAGCATGAAATGATTTTTCAAAAGTTTATTGTTTACAAGACATTCAGGTCACCGAAGAGAGTTGGATACCAAAAGCATTTCTGATCTTGAATTATATGCAAGCTAAACTAAAGTGTGTTAGCTTCTATAATTTCGGTGTTGAACTTGTATTTACCTCTGTGGTATAAGCTTAGGCTTGCAGTAACTATGGGTGATCATCACCAAGCATCAATTCTATCATGTTTAGGAGAGCACTGATTTAATTCTCTGAAATATCAATGCTTTCAGCTATGCACTGTGGCCTGGGAGAGACGTGGAGTAATAATCATTACTGTGAATCTTGGTTGATTTTCTGCTTCAGAGTCAAGGATATCAAAGCAAGGATGTCAGAATGCTCCACTGCTATCTGGCTGCAGTTAGCTAACCTCAGCAAAGGACCAGTGATCGAATCTACAAGCCTCCCAGTCTGCATGGCTCAGTGTTATGAATAGTATTGCCTTGACTAACTAAGCTATCAGTATCAATAAGCTGCTCGGTACTTTAGCAAGAAATGTCCTTGAAGTATTTTTCCATAGTACAAAAATAAACATCCACAAAAGTTTTTACTGGATTTTGTACTTTCGAATGCGAGAAAAAGTAAAATAATTACTGTACCTGTAACGTTTATAGCTATGCTCTAACCAACTTTGATTGTTTCTTTGTTGAAGAAAGAATAATTCAGTAAATTGGAAATAGAGTAACAGGAAATGTAGCTGCCCTCAATAGATTTAAAAATCAATGGTCCAGTAATGTCTTTCAGTAACCTCTAGTGGGAGTTCTGACTAAGACGCTGCTATTTATGGTTGCCGAACGTCAAACAAATGTTCTTCTA